TCACTCTGTCGCCCAGGCTGGAGTGCAGTGGTGCGATCTTGGCTCACTACAAGCTCCGCCTCCTGGGTTCACGCCATTCTCCTGCCTCAGCCTCCTGAGTAGCTGGGGTTACAGGTATGTGCCACCATGCCTGGCTAATTCTAATTTTTGTATTTTTAGTAGAGACAGGGTTTTGCCATGTTGCCCAGGCTGGTCTCCAACTCCTGACCTCAAGTAATTGGCTTGCCTCAGCCTCCCAAAGTGCTGGGAGTACAGGTGAGAGACACCTCGCCTGGCCATCAGCTAGGCTTTTTAAAAAGACTTTAATAAGTAACTATTTACAGAAGTGTGGACAGGACTAAAGGAAGCAGCCAGAGATGCCCAGGCACCCAGGGACTAGTAAGTGGAGAAGCCATCACTACCCCCAGGTCCCCAGGCCAGAAGATGTAACCAGAATCTGGTTAAGAGTTAGTTCTATGCAGAGGATCCACCCCACAGAGGCTGAAGCCACAGAGGGTTGCAGCCACTGCCCAATCCAGGCCGAGTCACGGAAGACACAGGAGGAAGAAATATCCAGACCCATCTCTTTCCAAGCTTCAACCTCCTACTGGTGCCTACCATTGGCCAACCAGAAACCAGTCCCTAGAGATCAGCCTCCCAGGGTGCACAGCATGGTTTACACAGGGTTTGCAGAGAAAAGAGCTGGGGTTGGCCGGGCACGGTGGCTTTAATCTCACCACTTTGGGAGGCCGAGGCAGGCGAATCACCTGAGGTCAGGAGTTTGAGAGCAGCCTGGCCAACCCTGTCTCTACTAAAAATACAAAAATTAGCCGGGTGTGGTGGCAGGTGCCTGTAATCCCAGCTACTTGGGAGGCTGAGACAGAAGAATTGCTTGAACCTGGGAGGTGGAGGTTGCAGCGAGCCGAGATCATGCCACTGCACTCCAGCCTGGGTAATAAGGAGCGAAACTCTGTCTAAAAAAAAAAAAAAAAAAAAAACTGGGGTTGTGGAGAGAGGTGGAGAATTGCCCACATGACAAGCAGCAAGCATTCCTTGTTCACATCAGTTGATTCACATACAATTTGTTCAGCACTAAAGACAAAA